CTACAAGAACATGTAACGAGAAATAGTAGGTTCCATTTAAGAAATTGAAGGTAACCTTCATGTGACCTTCAAATTACTCTTCAAGGTCAAACCTATGGTACCATCTTATGTCCCCCTCGAAACCATACAACTTTTGTCTGAAACATTTTTTCATATCTCTTTTAGTTTTTTAAAAAATCGACTGTATAAATTAAAATGGCCCACCCTGTATAGTTCACCAATGTAGCAACAGAAAATAAGCCTATAACTCGTTATAACAGATTGTTAGCAAAAATGGAGTAAACTCTGTTGTTTAGTAGGGTAACGGTTTTGCTAGAGGAAACGTATAATATAGTATAGCACTTTGGGCCTGAGCAGAATGGCTATCTTGTACTCTTAAGACATAAGACAGTTATTGTGCATTATCTCAAGGCAAAGGCTAGAAACATAAAAAATTGTCTTAAGGCTGTCTTAAGAGTATAAGGCAGCCATTCGGCTCAGGCCCTTTCTCGTAAGGAAAAAACCCTGTGCTACTGCACATTATAAATTAACGTAAAGAATTATTTAACGCCAGTACATGATTAACCAATGTAGAAAAATTACAAAATTGGTCGAATTAGTGAGACACCCGCCTAGAGTGTAGGGAAGTCCATTCAAACCCTGGCTCCCGAGTAGAAAATGAAACGCGGCCCTGAAAGGGGCGCGATAGATTTTGCTCTAACGACTGATCAGGTCTTGTTAAGGCAGCCTGATGACGCCCTGATAAAAAATGTAACGTTGTGTTCTAAGTGGCCCTGAAAGCAGTTTTCTATTAAGCAGCTTCCTATTAAAAAATCCACTTCGTAACTAATTGTTAAATTGTGTTAAATTGTGTTAAATTGTGTTAAATCACCTAGTCATCAAAAGTATATTCAGGTTGTTGAGGTCTATCCATGATTCAGACAACTCGCTCTCGCATCATATCGGCTCGCCTTTTATACTAATACGGGACGATTTTTACTTACGAGAAAGACGCGCGGTCGCCACGTCGCCGCGTCGCGGCAGTATGTGGTACTAGTGCTATCTATTCAGGATCCCATCAGGCGTATCGGGATTTCGTTGTGACAGCAAATGTATTTGCTAAGAATAAATTATTTTGCTTCAGTAGCAAATTTATGTGATTGTAATTACAAATACACTCAGCAAATTTTGTTCTATTCTCGCAACAAAATAGATTTTGCTATAATGACGAATAATTCGTAAAATTAGTTCTATCAACTAAATTTTATTGCTATTACTACAAATATGCAGTAACAACGGCGATTTTGCTATCACAGCAAAATTATTTTTTTCCGTGTAGTACTGCGAACTCTTCTCGTGCCTTGTTACTCCTATAGAGTCCTGTACGGGAATTCTGTAACTTGCTATCGAAGTTTTTCGATAACGTTACCTAGGAACAACCAATGAAAATCTGCGTCTTTTTCGAAGATCGTCCTCGCCATTGGCTGTCGCTAGTTAACCGAAAAGCATCGATTGCGAGTTACAGAATTCCCGTACTGACCTCCTATAAGGGCCTGTAAAGCGAGGAAGAGGGTTTGTAGATTATTGATATTAGACTTTTTAATTTATATATATTAATTTATTTATAAGAAATATATATATAATGTGTGCATTTTGGTATACTAAAAATTAAAGTATTATCACAAACGATTTCAGTACGTGGCATGAATTCTTCTTCAATATCTTCTTCATCGTATTGGTCAGCATCACTGTATTGATCATGTTGACTAAAATCGCTCCCATCAACATCATCTTCACTTCCGTCATTATTACTCTCATCGCTAATGTCAACTTTATTTTCTGCGCTTTCATTTAAATCCAGATTTTCTTCACTTGCATTTTTACTTGCAAAACAGTTTTCCTGACTTCCAATTCATCAGTTTTTTTCACTGTCACTTCTATCAAAATTTCCCATCGATAACCTGTTTTTCGAATCGCACGAAACCTTTTAATACGTATTCATGTTAATTTTCTAATTTTTTCCATACGATCCATTATTTTAAATAAAATTTATTAAATTATTATTTTAAAGTTGCAATTTATAGTATATACTGTAGGATTCAGTTCACCTGCATTTGGTCAGTTAGTTCTGTAGAATCCCTTTTTATTTAATAGAACGATCGAGGAGGGTTCGATCGAACAACGCATGAACTCGTAAGAAAAAAAAAACGTTTAATATTATAGGTTAGCTATCGCTTACAGTCCTCTCAGAGTTCGCGACGCACGCTCACCACGTCGAGACTTCTCTCGCTTCGACCTCCTTGCACCACGCCGCCGTACAACACCTCCTACTGCACACGTACAAGTCCTTTCCGCACTTACAATCCTCGCTATTGCGCACGACGTCTTGCTATACGCACAATATCTCACTGCTCGCACAACGCTTCTCCAATTCTCCCTCGCACACTTCGAATATCTTAATCTACTTTCTCTCACTTCTCTCATGCAGCACGCCATCTGCATGCAATTTCAAAATGATGCGTGAGCACGTTCGATAGAAAATTTTAGACAAAACCTGATCAGGGTCGCATAAAGATTTCCTCGATCAGGCGCTAATAAAGCAGCCCTCATTGTGGCGCTGACAGAGAATGCCATAATACGGCAACCCTGATCCAAGCACTAACAGGTCCGGATCAGGCTTTCCAGAATAAGGCATGCCATGACATTACCTGATAGCGCCCGGAGCAAAATTCAGGCAAACCTTAACCAATTTCTACTCGGGAAGTCACAATGCATTTTGTCAGGCCGTGCACAGGCGTGCGCCTATCCTTTTTGAAGCGGCGCACAGTAAGAGAGTCGGACCCTTATACAACGGTTTCTTTTGTCCTATTTACAATATAACTTGCTGTTGAGATTAAAATATATAATTTTTCAATAGATGACGCTGTAAGCGTTATTCCAACTTGTTTTCAAGCCGTTTGTTCACTTATTGTTAGTTAGTGTCAATTGCGTTATTCCAACTTGTTTTCAAGCCGTTTGTTCACTTATTGTTAGTTAGTGTCAATTGCGTGATTATCGGCTTTCATAGTTTTTTTTAGCACTCCAATGGGATGAGGACCTTATCACGTCCACATCGTTCATCCTGGGTAGCGCTAAGAATGGATTGAGTTTTAGGTGCATCACTATTTCTAAGGGTGGTTTGCGATGTTTCGTTATCGTTATTCTGCCATTCGGATATTCTTGATACAAATTTTTTATGTTTTTCAAAAATATATATGAACATCACTAAAAGTGTATTTTTAGACGCATCACCACAGCTATGGGTGGTTTTTGATGTTTTATTACTGTTAGGGGAACTTTTCGATCCGTACCTGTTTGGTAAACAACGGGTTTCTCCACTTGATTAACACTCAATGTTGTGCTATACAGAACCTATACAGGGTGTCCCATTTTAATGTCCCACCCTGAATAACTTTTTTATTTTCGATTGTAGAAAAAAATATTTCAGACAAAAGTTGTATGGTTTCGAGGAGGACATACGATGGTGCCATTAGTTTGACCTTGAATAGTGGTTTGAAGGTCACGTGAAGGTCACCTTCAATTTCTTAAATGGAACTGCCTACTTTTCATTACATATTCTTCTAGCTTATATCGAGAGCTTTCCAAAACCCTATAATTAAGTACCTTTTGGTTAAGTACTTTTTAAATTATAAGGCAAGATCAGGGCACGATCCGGCCGGTCAAGGCAAATCGGGGCATGTGTACAATTATTGTAGGTGTTCGAAAAGACTGCCATTTACTTGGATACAAATGTCCAACCTACGGCGAAAATCATTCCGCACTTTTTGAAGGACATCTGCGTTTATGTTCGTACATGCCTCTCGAATACGCTCCTGCACGGAAAAAGAAAATTATTTGGATCAAGTAAATGTCTTAATAAATATCCAATTTGTGATCTAAGAAAATTTTGTTGGAATAAAGAAAAATTTTCCTTGTTGCAAAAAAATTTTCCTAAAGCACGTTATGTAGGATTTGCAGGAATTTTACACTTACTTTATTCTTGGCAGCACATACGCACGTTAAAGAGCATCCAATATTTTTTTGGCGAACGTAATATTTTGAGCATTTTTACGATATTTTTTAGTAATCCTGTAATTATGGCTGATTATCCACCAAACGAAATAGTCGACATGATTCGTATTTTGGGTGAGGCTGGAAGTAATTACAGTGCAGCGGAAAGGCTGTATGCTGAAAGATATCCTAACAGACGTCATCCATGTAGAAAGACCATAAGAAAACTCACCGAGAGAGCACAACAGGGCAGTTTAAAAAGGACACGGCAAAAATCGGGGCCAAATGCGGCAAATTCCTTGGTTATCTTGGGTGCCGCTGTATTGAATCCCTAAATTTCCACCAGACAAATCGAGAGACAACAAGGCATATCGAAATCGACAGCAAATCGTATACTTAAAATTAATAGATTCCACCCTTACCACATCCATCTAACCCAGCAATTAGAACAGAGGGATTTCGAGCGACGCTTGCAATTTTGTAACTGGGCCTTGAATCAAATTCGAAGAAACCCACATTTTATCACAGAGATGCTCTTTTCTGATGAAGCCACGTTCGGTAACACAGGGGGCGTTAATAGACATAATTATCATTATTACTCTGATCAAAATCCTCATTGGCAAAGGAGCGAAGAATTTCAGACACGATGGTCTATTAACGTTTGGGCAGGTATTCTTGGAAATGACATCACAGGTCCATACTTTTTTTAACAGAATCTAAACGGGGAAAATTATTTTGCATTACTTCAGAATGATCTGCCCAATCTTTTGAGACATGTAATATGACTTGTTCAACCGAATGTGGTTTCAGCAGGATGGAGCACCAGCTCACAGGTCCCGAAATGTTACAAATTATTTAAATAATAGATTTAATAATAGATGGATTGGAATGGGTAGTCGGACTCATGAATGGCCACCAAGATCACCTAACTTAACTCCTCTCGATTTTTACTTTTAGGGATACATAAACAAAAAGTTTATGCAGAAGAACCTACAACAGCGGAAAACATGAAGGAGCGTATTCGAGAGGCATGTACAAACATAAACGCAGATGTCCTTCAAAAAGTGCGGAATGATTTTCGCCGTAGTGTGGATATTTGTATCCAAGTAAATGGCAATCTTTTCGAACACACAATAATTGTACACATGCCCCGATTTTGCCTTGACCGGCCGGATAGTACTTTG